GTAAATCTTCAAAAAAATATGCTGTCTTTTCAAATCGAATATTCTTATTCTTCTTCAAATCGAGTATTCTTGAGATACGTACATATAATGAATAAATAAATTTTAAGTGCTAATAATCTTAACTATAAATGTGACAAGTATGGAGGCTGGAAAATGCTTTTGAGATAGTCATGTCTGATTCTTGACGAAATACGTTATTATTAAAAATTTATGTACATAGAAAAGAATAAATAGTCTATAAAAAAACATTAGTCATAGTCGTAGATGTTAATCCTCTCCAATCTTACGTTTACCCGCTAATGACCAACAAATAATTTTGTCAAACAAATGGTGGATCATGTTAAGATGTTGGCATAGACTTGTGCAATATACAAGGGAAAGTCATATTTTTAATAAATAAAACGAGTTGTAAGAACATTTGATCTCTCTGAAATCAATACATGCAACCCGACCTAAAAGATCTGTTTTAAGCCTAAAGGCCAAACAGAAACAATTATAGACTATTTATAAATCTCGTAATTCTTGTGGGCTTAATTTTATCTATTTGATTTGAGACTGAAATCCCACTTCTAAGATAGTTAAGTCTACGTATTGCCGGTGCTGGATAGTTGCGTCGCACATGTTTTGAAGTTTCCTTCTCCTCATAACTGAGTAGATAGTAGTTATTGGGTCTACAGTGCCCTATAAGAAGTTCAGTATAGGTTTCAATAGAGCAACTTTAATCTATTCAGGATCAATGAATTTTCTTGACTGCTGCATATCTGTTGGGGCTCTCCAGTGTTCAAGTAGATTTTGTTTTTCGCTTTCACTTATTCAGTTTTTTTTAAGTTATTTGTCACTCTGTAGAAGAGCTCCCATTGCAATTGCTTTGCGGAATTTCTGTCCTATAATTTCTGCTGCTGCACTGCCATCTTCCATTTTGGACCCATCAATATAGCATAACTGGCGCAGAGAATTCCAGACTTCATCCAGAATCTTTGTGTGCCCTCTTTAAGGAAACCTTAGTGCTTCGTAATAATAAAAATAAAATTCAGTTTTAAGGTTAGAACGAAATTAAGGCCATTTTCCTTCATCAAGGAAGATGACCTTAATTTCGTTGAAACGAAGGCTTGAATTAACGGACAATTGAAATGCAGCTATGCGTAAGATAAATTTCAAGCAAAAGATAAAGTTGAGATAACGAAAAAGTGAGTGAAAAATAATGATTCACATACCTGAAATCCACTAAAGCTAATAAAACTACTGATTGGTGTTTGGAGCATGTGATTTTTAACATTTGACTTGCAGACAAAAAATCTATGATTTACTTAATTTGGGGCAGTATGAACACTTTCGAAATTAACTAACGAAATTAAGGAAGTTTGGCTGTCTGAACATAGTATGACTTAAATACTAATTAATTAATTTCAAAACTACTTCAATTGGACAATTTGAAATTTTAGTGTTTGATGTGGAAATCTTTGTTGAAGTAGTAGTGGATCCAAACAATAATTATTAATTTATAAATAATATTGTTGTTTAAGATTTATTAATAATTTGATAATATTCGAAATAGTTGCATGATTAGCCCAAAAATTTATTTATAAATAGTTTTTAACAGATAAAATATGTACTTTAACTTCAAGCGAAAGATTCGTTTTCATCCGCTGATTAAAAATAATTGTCTGACTTGCTTTGCCTTTGAATAAATATGAATTCAGGTGTCAGATGGTAGACACCTCTGAAATTGATTACTAAAAACGAAAAAATGTTGATTTTATTAAGTGAGTTTATTGCTTCCATAAAACGATAAAACAATCTACTTCTTGAGGCAGATTACAAATGAGGCAGTTCAAAAATAGCTGCGTTCATTAAAAAAGCATTAAACCGCGCCAGATAGGTTAATTGCTCGACACAGTAGACACGATTTTAGGCAATAAAAAATAATTATGATTGTTTAAATGCTCCATAAAGAACGCACAAACAACAAAAACATTAAACACTGAAGAATGCTTTGAAGTTAACAGCTCAGTTCACACATTGGTCCAATATTGCTAGCACTTCAAGTAATTGTTTAAAAAAATATAAAGTTATTAAGGATTGTTAGAGAAGGAACTTTTACGAGATCGTAAAAATCAAAATTATATTTTATTTATTTCCTTTTTTTATTAATAATGTTTTTAATTACTGTTCTTAATAAACTTGTTTTGAATGCGTACCCATCAAAAATGGAAATGGTACTAATAGGAAATAAAATTATCTTCTCTATCTTCTTTTCAATAAAAAGATTTCGAAACTCTTTTACTCAGTGAACATATTTGTTGTGTGTCGGATTGACATTCAAAAAGTGGTGCATATTATTAACATTATATCTCCAGGGTATTTGAAGTGGTCATCAGTGACCAATAAACTTGGAGAAACAATGAAATTATCTTAAAACAGGGCTCTCAATTATGGTGTACTGATAGGTCCAAAATGAAAGATGGCAGTACAGGAGCAGGATTTATAGGACAGAAATTCCGTAAAACTATCGCAATGGGACAAACTGCTTCCATTTTTCAGGCAGAGGTCCATGCTTTCGAGCTATGTGCGAGAGAAAGTCTACGTGAGGCACCCGAGGTACCAAAATATGCATTCTTTTAGATAGCCACGCAGATCTAAAATCTTTAGCAAAATTCTCATTCCAATTAAAGTTGGTCTGGAAATGGTTTCAACTTCTCAATACCCTTGCATCGAGAAACTATATTACACTTATGTGAGCACTGGGACACGAAGCGCATGAGGGTAATGAAATAGCAGACTCCCTAGCAAAGAAGGGGGCATGTATTCCTTTCATTGATCCTGAACAGATTAAAGTTGATGCTATTCTTAACCTTAGCAGAAACGACATTAAAATCTACACTGATCTTCTTACAGGACACTGTAGACTTAATTACCACATAAAGGTTATAGGTGCGGTAGAAAGTGACGCCTTTTGACTCTGTCATGAAGAGAAGATAACATCAGAACATATTCTATGCAACTGCTCAGCGGTGGCAAAAAGTGGACTCGACTACCTTCGAAACGGGATCTTAGTCCCAAATCAAATAGGCCGAATTAAGCCCATAGCAATTACAAGATTTATAAATCGTCTAAAATTATCTTAGTTGGGTCTTTAGGCACACAATAGAGATTTTAAGTCGGGGTGCATTCATAGCCTATTATTTAATAATAATAATTTACATTATTGTTCATATATATATAAATTCTTTAATAATTAATTTTCTTAAACTTAAAACACTTTCCATGAATTTGTACAGGTTATTAGTATTGCTACAATTTACCAAGACTTTAACTTCGTCTTGGCATAGAAGTGCTTTATCAGAGAAAAGATGTCTATGTTCCCTGAAATCATATATATAAAACTTTAACTTCTTCTTCGGAGAGAAGTGTTTTATCAGAGAAAAAGCGTCTGTATATGTTCGCTGAAAATCGGACATACTTCAATAATATGACATATATTTCATATTCTTACTTATAGCGAAAAATGACAACTAATTTTAGTGTTTAGTGTTATTATATTTTCAACAAAAAAAAAATAAAACTACTAAATTCATTACATTCTACTTATTTATTGTTTAAGGATGACATAGAATAAGATCTATATTCTTCATTAATCTTCATTAAAAAAAATACACACAAGACATGTTTTAAATTTAGGAATACAATTTCATAAGAAATGTACGATATGGCTTCAGCCATCTGTCGGAACAGAATATAAATACGATATACTTATAAAAAATTTAGAAAAATATATATTAAAAATTAGGAAATTAATTAAGAAAAAACTAAATGTAAACAAAAAATATTGATTACCAATTAACAAATCGGAATTAAAATTTATCAAATTAGAAACTATAGTAGAAACTTTAATAAAATTAAGTTTTATTAAATCAAACATGAAGAGGTTTTTCGAACAGTAGTGAACTACAACAACAAAAATTTTATTTTTTATATTATTTTAATTAATTGAATTTTTGGCTGACCATAGAGCTATTTCGAGTATTACCAAATACCCATCATCAGTGGTCAAACAGATAATATACACCATAATTAATATATTCTCAGTTGAATGGAATTATTTTCTTCATAATAATGCAATATTATGCTAGTATACTTATACATCGATTAAAGTATAGAACACTTATGTTGTACAATAAAAAGGAAAACTGAATAGAATGTATATAATATATTCGTTTAAAGTTTGAAATCATAAGTCACGTCCTTCTTAGCACAAAGAATGTATGTCTAATAGGTTGAAGTATCACAAAAGTTTTCTTTGTTTGTATTTGACTGTAGATGGAAGCATCGAAAGCCACCGTGTGAGATTTGAAACCACTAAGCCACCTCCTAGGAATGAATGGAGAAGATTTCCACAGCATTGTGAAAACTTAATTCGAGTAATCAGGGGAGAGAGAAAAAAAATAGACTTAGTACATAGCGAGCTAGATTTATCTAAGCCAGAAAGCAAGGGCGTTCATTAGGGACACTGGGTTGTAGAGAAGGGGGCAGGGTTAGAGTTGGTGAGAGGGGGTGAGGTTAGCGGTAAATTGTATGACTGGGGTCACGAAAGCCACAGTTATATAGAGGGATGGATGGAGTGTAGGTTACGGTCCCCCTCATCGAAGTAGTGGTACAGGTATTGGGTTGGTTTAAAGCGCAGGGCTAGAGCAAGTTCCTCAGGGAGGGTAATAGAAATAGAAACGTCAAGGGGAAGGTCATGAAGCCGGGTGAGGTACCTACGGGCGAGTGGCAAAAGGTACTCGTCAATGCGAGTGATCTTGGCATTGTCATAAAGGACAGAGATGGAGAAGCTGGGATTCCAGAAACATATTTAAACTTTTACTCCAAAAACCTGAATTCCATAGTATGTATTACCATGGCTTCATTATTATAACAAAATACTAAAAAGCAAACAATTCCATTTTTACTTATATCACAAATAAATGCAATCCAAAACATAAATTTCATAAATATGTTTCCAAATGCATTGTAATATTTATTTCGTTCATCATTGCACATCTTTAATTTGGACACATAATAATGATTTTGTTTCAATTTTAGTTTAAGTTATTATAAAAGTTTTCACAAAATGGTTGGGGAGAGATGCTCACTATCCAGGCAATAATTATTGTCCACTGTGCGCCAAGACCAGAGCAGTAGTTACTTCTGAAATATGCGATAGAATCATTAAGTAGTAAACTTCAACTAGGCTGAAGTCTGTTTGTGTGGACACTGATTTATTTTGAACCGCAGATGGAGGAATAGTGCTAAATCCATCTGTTTTGAATGAGGACTCTAGAATGCGGCTAACGTTAGCTCCTTCAGAAGCAATACAGCCAATATTAGCTATCTTATGCTCTGTTACTTCTAAATGTGCTGTGGTAGTTGTTGGTAACTCCTCTACATCTAACAGAAAAAAAGTATTATTAGCTAAATGAAAACGTATGCAGGAACGATATGATTACAATATTTAATATATGATATTAATTTACCAGTTACAGGTCCTTGACCTATCAACATTTTAGTTTCGCCATCAGCTAATGAAAATGTGTAAGAATAATAATTTTATATACATTACGACTAAGATTAGCTTACCTGAGCATGAAGTCTTTGAATTGGATAATAAGAAGGCGCATTCGGATGGTGAAATTTTATTGATCTGTCTAGTCCTACGTAATTTAACAGCTGCGGTCAACTCCTCATACAATGATGCTGGCATTTTTTTCTCACGCTTCACCGTATTGATATTTTCAACATTTTTATCCAGATGAACTGTTGTTGTTGTACATGTGCTTTCCAACACTTTATAGACATTCTGGTTGCAATTCAATAAATGCCCACAACTGCATGTATTCAAAGCACTTAAATGGAGGGAAACTGCTTTCTCATTCTCATAAATCTGTGTTTGTATTGACTTCGTCAAGCAAATGGAGTGATTTTTCTCTGAATTATATATGTCGACACCACAAGCCACCGTTTTGGATTTGTGAACAGTCCCATTCTCTATTTCATCTCGAATTGCTTTGACTAGCCCGGGTTTCACAAATGTAGCATGAGGATTAGTCAAACTTGCTTGATTCGAATTCACTTCCAATTGTTTTGATGAGCTGTTAAGATCCTTTGGTTTATTCAATTGTGGGGCTGACGCAAATACGGTACGAGGAAATCCGGTAGTGTCTATGTTGTCAAATAACTTTGAATTGAAACCATGAATATTACGTGCCTTTGGTGTTGCTCCTTCTGATAGCTCTAAAAATTAATTATGCTGATTAATTCAAAGATTTGACTTTCTTAACCGGTTTTGATACTTACTTTGTTCATCCCTAGTATCTACAAACAGAGTTTCATGGTTCTCTACCTTTATTCCTTGATCAGATTTAAATGGCTCATGGACTTCATGAGTTTGTAAAGCTCGAATCAGATCTGATGTTTTAACGCTTGATGTTGTAGACATTGACTCGGAGGACTCTTTCGACACGGCAGCTTTTTGATCATTATTCATATCAATTATCATGGTTGGAGCCGGTTTCACGTTATAGGCATTTATTTCGGGCTTTTGTTCATCGACTTGTAGGAAACATGGAAAAAATTTGCCACAATAATCACAGCCCTGAAGAAGTTCGCAACCACATTTCATACAAAACATTTTTACAATTTGGAAAAAATGTCATCTAAAGTGTGTCTAGTGCAGAAACAAAGTATTATTCTTATATCTTTTATCAAAAATAATTTGGCAGTAATTTTGTCAACAACCGAAAGAAAATCTGTTGAAAAATAAATTTGTTTGTTGAAAAGATTGACTATAAATAAACTGACTATATAAAATTTTAATATTTGAAATTTGACTATTTATTTAGAATTTGACTTTTAAAAATTTGTTAAAACTGTGTTGCTTTGTTATAATACATAAAGTTAAAGTTTTCTAGCCTAATAGTATTGCAGTACAAGAGATCTGTTAGTCGTAGTGCCTACTCCAAACGAACGATCCCAGACACCTCATTTTAGTTTTAGAATTTCAGTACTATTCTGTTTCTAGAGACATTACTTATTGCCAATTTTTACTTGTATGTAAATCTTTATTTGGGAATCTAATATAAGCTTAATTCTTCTTTTGTAGCATAAAGCCTCAACAAAACATCTCCATCTCGTACGGTTATGAGCTAACTGCTTGACTTCGCCCCTAGATTTCCCAGTTATATCAATTTCATTAAATGATAACCTTTACGAGTTACATGGACCTCTCGATCAACCCAATTTTTGACTATTTTTTGCAATAAATGTGGCCATATGGCTTCAATATTAGCATTAATATCACTAAATTGGCTTTCAATGTTTTAAGAGTTACTGGATTGTCAGCATAAACCAATGACTTAACATAGTACCATAAAAAGTGGTCGAGAGGCGTTAATTCGCACGAACGAGGGGTCGAGATAACAGAACCACTTCTGGAAATAACAATCTGGCAACAAATCAAATTGACTTCCAAATAAATTTATTGTCAAGCGTGTCTTGCCTTGGTCTTATTGAAACAAAATGTCGTCGATGTTTAACTGATTAATTTTTGAAAATTACTGACAAAAATTCAGTCAGCATGGCTTAATAGCGCTCGGTGCTGCCATTTACCATAACGGCAGCTCCTTCCTCATTTTGAAAGATGCCGCCAGCCTGTAGGCCACACCAAAGATTCAATTTTAATGGATGTAATGGTGATTCGTTAACGACTTAAGGATTGTCTTCGCTTCATATACGACAATTTTGTTTACTGACGTAGCCATTTAACCGGAAATGAGCTCTATGAACAGATTTGTTTTTTTTTTTCAAATAAATTTCTTTGAATTGTTCTAGCGTTAAGCGATTCATGATGAATTGCAAAACCTTACTGAACAGAAATTTCAACACAGTTTTTGACATTCAATGCTGTCAAATTAAAGTTATCGATATCGATAGTTCGCATGCTGTTTAAAAAACATACGATATAACTCGATATTCTATATATTTAAGATTTTCTTTAGTAGTTCCATCAATTTTCATACAATACATTATATTCACGATAAAGGTTAGGAGTGCTCATACTAAGTGTTGTTGCATGTACTGTGTAGGATTAGTGTCATACGTATTCTGATTCAAATCCTCGGTAAGTATTAGCTTCATAAAGGACTGATATTCCCTATGTGTAGTAATGTGTGAACTGCAACATGTGGTGTGCAAAATAATGAAGTAAAATTTTATTCTTAAAACAAAAAAAAAACAAAATAAATTGGATATGTTCTCATATGTATTTGTGATTATTGTACTTAATGTATATTTAAAATGGGTTTTAACTTTTTTAACTTCTCTTTTTGACTTTTTAAATACATTTTTTTTCGTTACTCCTGCAAAAAGTCTGTTTGAAGAGAACTCAAATTATAAAAAAATATTACAAGCTCTTCCCATCATTTGTCCCCAATTACGTCCCCATAGTTTAAAAATATAAATTCTTTATTTAAACGTCAAGTGGTGTAACATATTTGATCCCGCAAGAAATATACTAGTTTACAAGTGTCCAAAGGAAATAAAAAATTAAATTAAAAATAAAGTTTGTTTTAATTAAAAAATAAACCGAAATGATTAAAGTATTACAGAAAATACAATGGAAAATATAATTAAATAGTGGAAAAGTTCTTAATATGAAAAGTCTTAAGAAAAACGGAAGGGAAAGGAAAACTACGTGACACTTAAACCGCGTTACGTGGTCAAAATATGTTTTTAGTTAAGAAACTCATCAAAAAGAATTATACAACAAATAGAACTGAGAAGAGATTATGCATGGCAAACTTCGGGATGTGTGTACCTTACACTGGGCATTGGATGACAACTTAAATTAGTGAACACAATTGGATAATAAAAAAAGGCGCAAGAATCAAATATCCAATTGATATTACGGAGAAGTGATTGAATACATACATATACATAATAAACAGTTTTCTAAAATCAACGAAGGAAAACACATTTTTTTTTTGATCAATAAAATAAGTTGGATCTACGACAAAATCTCATAACTTTATGTCGATAAAGACAGAAGTAAGTAAGTAAGTGGAGACAGAATACGTCGAGAGTGAGAGTGGGTGATATGGTGATAGAATGGAAGGATAGCGTTAAATATCTCGGCATCACGTTGAACAAACGATTCACATGGCTTAAACATGTTCAACTGAAAAGAATTAGCTGTGCCAAAATTCTTCATTACCTCCAACCGCTATTTAGAAATGAAAACCTCAATGCTGAAAACAGGAAACTGATATATAACCAAATAATTCGTCCGTGTCTTCTATATGGTTGTGTAGCATTTAGCAAAAGCTTCAAACACTACTATTTACCAGTTAGAAATTGCACAAAGCCAGGCTCTGAGAAGACTTTTCTAAGTTCCTTGATACATTAGGACGAATGACATCCTCAGGGACCTCAAGATTGATCCCATCAAAAAATACATAAAGGATAGAGCCCTGAAATTATTTACGAAATCTGACAGACTTACTAACACCACGTTATCAAATCTCAGAATGGTTACAGGCTCCTCGGTGAGGTATGCAAATCTAAGGTCAATTAATGCTTAGTCTGATGAAGTGATACACAATATTCTAGTCAAGGCGCAGGAGGGGTTTTGAAGAAACCTAGCAGTTAATAGAGAGTAAAAATGCTCACGCGCTCAACTAGCCTCAACATAATAATATATATAATATTTGTTGATATATTATTATAATTTTTTTATTTTATTTTTCTAAAATATTATTTCTTAATATTATTTCATAAAAAATACAAAAAATCGTGCTAAAGATGGTCTATTATGCCAACCCAAAACTTCTCGACCAATCCATACGATAAACACAGTGAACACCTTAAATGATTTACTTTTGTTGCATACGTTATGTGGAAGAACCAGTGTGTTTCCTAGATCTAGTTAATCTACTATTATGTATTTTTACATAGAGGAAGTGTTTAGATATTCTGTGATTTTTGAAAGCAAAGATAACAGCGTTATGATTATATCTCATCATGCGATGTCCTATCAGACGACCTAAGAGAATTGTTTAACGTAAAGAGGTTATATGAGACTATTTTAAATGCGTTGATGAATATTTGGGTATGTTCCCTACTTCTATGGTTAATTCAATGGTTTCTAAATTTAAATTCTTTTCAGTAACTGCGTTTATGTACAGTCAGAACAACTATTATAGTATTAAATACTTTAAGTTATCTTAGGCTAAAACTAAAAAGACCAAGTGGAAATTACCACAGCTTTGAACTATTAAGCAGATATATAGTAGATATATCCCAATTTAAATCGATAACTCCATTGTTAACAATCTATAGTATGATTGTAAATTTCGAACTAAAAATGGATTTTATATATATCTATAGAGCTAAGGCAAAAATGTTTCTGTACGTTCGGCATAGACAATGGATCACTATGAATGCAATATTGGTGACAGTTGGAATATTCCAACAATTATATTGAAAGTGCCGTAAATTTAATCGAACCGAGAACGGAACCAAGAATGGAATATATACTCTTTTAAAATGAAAAACCTAACTATATTTATATAAATATAAGCAATTATGACTATACTTGATTGAATAAATAATTTCTTTTTGCATGTGTGCAACATGCAATAACTTTCAGATACTTCTTTAATCGCTCTAACGATTCAAACTATTCTCCTAAAATGTACCACCATTGCATTGCATAAATGTATATATATATATATATATATATATGTATGTATATACGAAATTATATGTATTTACATAAGCACTGGTTACATATAACAACTCGTGAAAGTCAAAATGCAGCTTGAAAACATGAATTACGTTGGCAAGTTTATGACACTTTCAGGGGGATTAGTCCAGTAGCGCTGCACTCGAAGTGGTTGAGTCTTGAACCAGTCCGGTTGCACAATGTTACAGTTAAATGTACGCTTCCTTAAATTATTATATTTTTCTTTTAACTCTTATTGTTGTCGTTTTTATTGTTAGAGTCATAATTGTTGTTTGCACATAAGATTTCATGCTTTCTGTGTTTGCGTGGTTAAGTCATGTGCCATTTTGTATGGCATTTGCTCTAGAGGGATTAGGGATTAAGAGTGATAAAATAGCATAAAAATTAGTGAAATAAAAAGGTGAAAAATATAAAATAAAAAAGTGTGATTTCGCATTCCGGAAATAAAATTAAATGCAGTAACAATGAAAAAACGATGACTCTAATAAGTTTGAAAAGTAATAAGACCTGTGCGAGTAGTTAATTAATAACGATTTAGTATATAGTTTGAACCTAGTTTATTTGTAGTTATTTTTTTTAACTTATGGCTGTGTTATTCAATAAGTCCTTATAAATTTATAGATTAACAATTATTTAATAAATCTTAAAAATATATATATATGATTTATATATCACAGCATATGATTAGCGGGCTTTGTTCTGCAGGACTACTTCTACAACCTATTCTTAAACATTTCGCCATAAACGTTTCTATAAATGTAACAATTTCTACGTATTAGATATAGTAAAAATAAATCCATTATATTTACATGAAATTGAAGGCTTATATACCACAGTTAGAATGATCCGAATTAGGTAAAATATGCTTGGTTTTATTCGATAACTAGTTGCCATTTTGAAGGTAATTTTATTATGCCTCTCTCATAGAAGTCCACGTATTTATTGAAAAAAAATAATGAGACAGTCGATTTTTACAAACCTCTCTTGAAGCGATTTTTTCACCAGAAAAATCGTCCATCGTTCGCCAGGAATAGGAATAAATCATTTGGTATCAGATCTGAATTATAAGGTGAATGCATAACAACCAAGCTCTCGGAGCTGGTTAACATTATTGATATGTGTGGATTGGTTTTGGAACAGATTTTTTGGGCGTTTTCTTCCTTCAGATAGTACGGGACTAATTGTTGACGGTATAGCAAGCAGCTCATAGTAGATGATTTCCTACCAATTCCACTAAACACACAGCAACAAACACACCGTCCTGGCCATCAATCCTGGCTTGGCAACTGTTTCGGCCGACTCATCACGATTCAACCACAACCGTTTTCGCTTGATCACTCACCAACCCTTACAGAAATGGGTCGATTTTGTTCCGATTCATCGGCGATTCGCAGATAGAAGTTTAGTTCATGAGATTTTTTTGCAATAACTCGAAAAAAACGTCGAGCATCTTTTCGTATCCAACCTTATTGAAACGATTTCAAAACTGGAATGATTTTTTGTGCAATTTTTATCTCTTAGGCGATCGAAATAGAGATGGTTACTTATTTGACGGTCAAACTCGACAATTTCTATGATTTTGTTGACATTTTATTGACTTTCAGTGCGTGGTGCATTTTTGACATCGAAATTTTGAAATTATGGTAACCAAATCGACGAAACTAAAATTGCGCATGTTTGGCTGTCACAGTATCAGGAACATAAACACTATTCACATTTTCAGCCGCCTGGCTTCTGACTTGTGTTTTCACCATTATCAATGAAAAACTGTGTAATAGTGCGAATTTTATCTTTGCTAGCGTCCTTCTTTGACGTGTACTCACACAAAACTGAGTCAATCAATTACCAAACTGTCAAAAGTTTTTTAATATAAAATCTTCTCTTTCTAATGCCATCTAGCGTTGCCCCATCGGATTTATACAACGCAGGATACAGATAACTAAAGCCATATATTGGAAATATAATGGATTCCTTTTTACTACACCTAATATTATCTGCATATAATATCAAGAAGACATGCAAGTGGAACACTATCAAGCTTAAAAATGCTAATAACTTAGAAAGATACCAAAACACAAGACAGAGGCCACACAGCAAATTCAGTAGAAAAAAAATTGTACGCATTTGAAAGCACAATACTTGATTCAGCAAAAGAAGTCATCGGAGAAAAACGAACCAGAAATGCAGAGTGGTTCGATGACACATCCCGAAATCTAATTGTTACAAAAAACACAGCAAGAATAAATATGATAAACAAGGGAATCAGGGCTGATCTTTGCTGAATGAAAGGGAAGAATGAGGATAAGGGAATTTTAGAAAGAAAAGATTAGACAAATAGATGAAGAAAGGGTTAAAAGTAATACAAAGACATTTTATAGTCAATTAAGAAGGGTTAGCAACGAATATCAGCCTAAAATTTTAACATTCGTAAGAATGGAGTGGTGCTTACCAAAAGACATCAAGTATTAGAAGGATGGAGAGAACACTTTACTGAATCTTAAAATTTTGACAAAATGAATGAAAGGACAAAGTTAATAAATTTTTTTTGTTTTGGTTGATGTTAAAACAAATAATTTTTGAAATTAAAAATAATATGTAAAGCGCTAATTAAAATAGTACTGTACTGGGTACTTGAAATTGATGTGATAACTAAAAAATGAAAAGTGATTTAGTAATCGTTATGATAACGTATGCATATAAAGTTTATATGTATATATAAAGCTTGTATAGGTAATATTCTACAAAAATAAAAAAAAATATTGATATGAATGAATATGAATATAAACCTGAATAACACATATTCGAATGAATACTTGTTTTTGGAAGTAACTCCTGAAATGTTAATATTTCCAAAATGGGAGCTATCGTCTGGTGCTATATACCGACTGGTGCTGTCTGGTGCTATATCTATCTCCGTAAAATGTTTAATGACGAACAACTATTGGTTGATAAAAAATAAAGTTTAGACCTGAACTTTCACTGTGCCATAATGTATTTTATTTTTATAATTTGGTACAATCTGATGCATATGACTCATATTTTTATTTCAGATTGACCCCATCAATCAATAGAGCAGTTTCTTAATCAATGGCCCAGATACGGCGGTTGTAATAGTCACGAATTAATTGATATTCAGTTTTAAACCCTCTATCCTAGCAAAGAAATGATGTATGAAAAAATAGAGGACTTAGTGCAAAAAGTAACTAAATTATTTTTTCCGTCTTCTATAACAGATAAACTAAATCAGCAATATTTTGCAAAAAATGAAAGCGGCAAGTGATGAGTATGGAGTAATATTATGTTATTGATATATTTCAACATAACATATATTTTTCTAGACTGCAAGCACTTTCATTTTTTGAACTTACTATATGCGATTATATTACCTCCACGGATTAGAGAAATGAATAAGTCATCTAAGACGGATGCTCAGGAAGTGTATGAAGTCAATAGTTAATCTTACAAGGGTATAATAAATGAAAAAAAAAAACTACGTACAGAAGAATATTATATATTAACAATAGTTTATGAATCGACTAATAACTTCTATGTGATAGATCAAGAAATTAATACGATTTCTTCCAATAAATTTCAATCGTACAAATTTTTAGGCAAATGTGATTTTTATGATTTTAAATTAATAAATGAAGCTTCTCTTCCTATTCAACCATGTACATTAAATAATGGATAAGTTATGTTAAAATTTCAAATTAATTTGTTTAATAGTAAGATGCGATACAAGGGGCAAAAGTTTGTGCCTCAATGGGGGAGTGATGTGAATACACAACGTTGCCTCCTCAACAGCGCACCTCACCTACACATTGTGGATGCTATTCTCGCATATAACCTGAAAACAACTAGGAGAGAGGAAAGAGAGTTTCTACCAAACACCAATTTTATCCCAAGATTAAATAAATAAGGTGATATGATCCTCCAGGTTGGGGGTTGATCGCAAGGACAGTAGCCTCGCAACGGAAAAATACACCCGCTACTTAACCTTCTTTAGAAAAGGAGGCCATGGACCACACTGGACTATAGTGGCAAAAAAGAAGAAGATATTTCTAATCTATTATAATATAAATTAAATCTGTTTTGAATTCTTTTATTATCAACAAAATAAAAAATTTATACATACGGCCAGTGTGTTATTCCTTATTCTTGATTTAGTTTTGTGAATTAACGTAACATATTACGACAACAATTTATTGAGTAAAATTAACAATTTTTATTGTACATAAGAACAAAAGTTAAAATTATTGAAATGACAACTAAGTTGATATTTAGTCAAAAACGGATTACATGTTTTTTCAAATATAAAAATTGTTAAAATAATAATTTCAATATAAATGTTTACATTTTACGAGAACTGCTAGACATTGTTCGGTACAATATGACTCCGAAAAAAACTTAAAGCATTTTTGATATAAAAAAATTTTTTTTTAGTGTAAAAGTCTGATTGTCACGAAATGATGACAGTACATCAGGTATTGAGCTTTCCGGTAAATATATTTGCTATAGGATGATTTCACTATAAATATTTTCCTTCTAAAAACACTTTAAAATGTTCCAATATATGGCATTATCATATGGCATTTTCGATCGGTTAATATAGGGTAAATTTTTTAATCGAGATTTGTTTTTAGTATAATTGTCATTTTCGATTGGTAAATCTATATAACAATAATATATATGATATTAATTTATAACACTTTAGATATTTTTCACTTTAGATATTTAGATTCCAATAAGATTACTCTTATACGGCATTTACACTGGCCGACAATGACTCATTTTGATAAACAATCGAAAATGAGAAGCGAATGGCTCATTCTTGCATACAAAATTTCAAACGCGAATGCTATCCATTTCATTACATTCTGTATGAATGCGTCCCAACGACGTTCGAATGCATTCCAAATATGTTCCAAATACAAATCATTCATTTTCGACCAGTGTAAACGCCATATTAAACTAACAGCTGTTTTATATAATTTGACAGATAAAAAGTGTGATTTGTTCACATATACAAAACTTCTTTGTTTTTATATTTGGAGGTCGTTTTGTGAAAATGGTGAAAAATAAATACATGATAAACCTTCAGATGAAAATATATTTTTCAATTTAATACAATTTAGAAAAACGGAAAATAATAGCTAACACACTTAAGAGTGATATTCGAAATTTTCAAATTATAAATATATTCAAACTTCCATAACTCGAATTTCTATAACTCGAATTTTCTATAACTCGAACCAAAAACTTTATTCCGTGCCGATAGGAATATGGGAAAGTGCATTCTATAAATCAAATTTTTATTTTCAGTATAAAGTATTTTGCTGTTAGGGAAAGTCCCTTTTTCCAAACCAAATGTTTAATTTTTTGCTTCTTTGTGCAAATGCCAGTCGCTGGGAGCGTGGTTTAAAGTAAATAAAATAACTTCCAATGCTACTCTTAATGATTATATTGAGGTTGAAAATGAAATTTGTACATCAAGCTTTCCACCAGACGATGATATTGTTGAGCACTATAGCTGTAAATTACTGGATCCAATTCTAAGCGCAACGGACAGTGATGATGAGTGTTCGGTGGATGTAAGTGTTCATCAACCTTCCAAGTATGTTGTAGAAGACTCATTCAAAATTCTGAATTTATATTTGCAAACGAATGATACTACAACTGATGATCACTATAAGACTTGGAATAAATTGGAAACTATTTTTACTGAAATTAAGAAAAAAATTAAAGTCCCAAACCCTAATTTTTGAATATTTTACTTCATTATAACTTCTTTGCTTTATTTGATAGCAAATAAATAATTATCGTAAAATATAATTTTAGTTTCTTTCAAAAATAAAAAATTCTCTAACTCGAAGTCTCCATAAGTCGAACCTTTTCTTTGCAAAATTGAACTTCGAGTTATAGAAGTTTGACTGCATATTCAAAAAATTTGGATTTGCATTTAAAAGAAATACAGAGAAAAACAAATTTTCTCTCTAGCTCGTGACCCAAACTTTCCCAACATATGTTTTTTTATTTTTGTGGACCAATTTTCTTCCTTCAGATAGTACGGGACTAATTGTTGACGGTATAGCAAGCAGCTCATAGTAGATGATTTCCTACCAATTCCACTAAACACACAGCAACAAACACACCGTCCTGGCCATCAATCCTGGCTTGGCAACTGTTTCGGCCGACTCATCACGATTCAACCACAACCGTTTTCGCTTGATCACTCACCAACCCTTACAGAAATGGGTCGATTTTGTTCCGATTCATCGGCGATTCGCAGATAGAAGTTTAGTTCATGAGATTTTTTTGCAATAACTCGAAAAAAACGTCGAGCATCTTTTCGTATCCAACCTTATTGAAACGATTTCAAAACTGGAATGATTTTTTGTGCAATTTTTATCTCTTAGGCGATCGAAATAGAGATGGTTACTTATTTGACGGTCAAACTCGACAATTTCTATGATTTTGTTGACATTTTATTGACTTTCAGTGCGTGGTGCATTTTTGACATCGAAATTTTGAAATTATGGTAACCAAATCGACGAAACTAAAATTGCGCATGTTTGGCTGTCACAGTATCAGGAACATAAACACTATTCACATTTTCAGCCGCCTGGCTTCTGACTTGTGTTTTCACCATTATCAATGAAAAACTGTGTAATAGTGCGAATTTTATCTTTGCTAGCGTCCTTCTTTGACGTGTACTCACACAAAACTGAGTCAATCAATTACCAAACTGTCAAAAGTTTTTTAATATAAAATCTTCTCTTTCTAATGCCATCTAGCGTTGCCCCATCGGATTTATACAACGCAGGATACAGATAACTAAAGCCATATATTGGAAATATAATGGATTCCTTTTTACTACACCTAATATTATCTGCATATAATATCAAGAAGACATGCAAGTGGAACACTATCAAGCTTAAAAATGCTAATAACTTAGAAAGATACCAAAACACAAGACAGAGGCCACACAGCAAATTCAGTAGAAAAAAAATTGTACGCATTTGAAAGCACAATACTTGATTCAGCAAAAGAAGTCATCGGAGAAAAACGAACCAGAAATGCAGAGTGGTTCGATGACACATCCCGAAATCTAATTGTTACAAAAAACACAGCAAGAATAAATATGATAAACAAGGGAATCAGGGCTGATCTTTGCTGAATGAAAGGGAAGAATGAGGATAAGGGAATTTTAGAAAGAAAAGATTAGACAAATAGATGAAGAAAGGGTTAAAAGTAATACAAAGACATTTTATAGTCAATTAAGAAGGGTTAGCAACGAATATCAGCCTAAAATTTTAACATTCGTAAGAATGGAGTGGTGCTTACCAAAAGACATCAAGTATTAGAAGGATGGAGAGAACACTTTACTGAATCTTAAAATTTTGACAAAATGAATGAAAGGACAAAGTTAATAAATTTTTTTTGTTTTGGTTGATGTTAAAACAAATAATTTTTGAAATTAAAAATAATATGTAAAGCGCTAATTAAAATAGTACTGTACTGGGTACTTGAAATTGATGTGATAACTAAAAAATGAAAAGTGATTTAGTAATCGTTATGATAACGTATGCATATAAAGTTTATATATATAAAGCTTGTATAGGTAATATTCTACAAAAAATAAAAGAAAATATTGATATGAATGAATATGAATATAAACCTGAATAACTCATATTCGAATGAATACTTGTTTTTAGAAGTAACCCCTTAAAATGTTATTATTTCCAAAATGGGAGCTATCGTCTGGTGCTATATACCGACTTGTAGAATTGAAAATAAGTACTATTGATATTCTGAAAATGATGCAATCCCATGATCTCCATAAAATGTTTAATGACGAACAACTATTGGTTGATAAAAAATAAAGTTTAGACCTGAACTTTCACTGTGCCATAATGTATTTTATTTTTATAATTTGGTACAATCTGATGCATATGACTCATATTTTTATTTCAGATTGACCCCATCAATCAATAGAGCAGTTTCTTAATCAATGGCCCAGATACGGCGGTTGTAATAGTCACGAATTAATTGATATTCAGTTTTAAACCCTCTATCCTAGCAAAGAAATGATGTATGAAAAAATAGAGGACTTAGTGCAAAAAGTAACTAAATTATTTTTTCCGTCTTCTATAACAGATAAACTAAATCAGCAATATTTTGCAAAAAATGAAAGCGGCAAGTGATGAGTATGGAGTAATATTATGTTATTGATATATTTCAACATAACATATATTTTTCTAGACTGCAAGCACTTTCATTTTTTGAACTTACTATATGCGATTATATTACCTCCACGGATTAGAGAAATGAATAAGTCATCTAAGACGGATGCTCAGGAAGTGTATGAAGTCAATAGTTAATCTTACAAGGGTATAATAAATGAAAAAAAAAAACTACGTACAGAAGAATATTATATATTAACAATAGTTTATGAATCGACTAATAACTTCTATGTGATAGATCAAGAAATTAATACGATTTCTTCCAATAAATTTCAATCGTACAAATTTTTAGGCAAATGTGATTTTTATGATTTTAAATTAATAAATGAAGCTTCTCTTCCTATTCAACCATGTACATTAAATAATGGATAAGTTATGTTAAAATTTCAAATTAATTTGTTTAATAGTAAGATGCGATACAAGGGGCAAAAGTTTGTGCCTCAATGGGGGAGTGATGTGAATACACAACGTTGCCTCCTCAACAGCGCACCTCACCTACACATTGTGGATGCTATTCTCGCATATAACCTGAAAACAACTAGGAGAGAGGAAAGAGAGTTTCTACCAAACACCAATTTTATCCCAAGATTAAATAAATAAGGTGATATGATCCTCCAGGTTGGGGGTTGATCGCAAGGACAGTAGCCTCGCAACGGAAAAATACACCCGCTACTTAACCTTTTTTAGAAAAGGAGGCCATGGACCACACTGGACTATAGTGGCAAAAAAGAAGAAGATATTTCTAATCTATTATAATATAAATTAAATCTGTTTTGAATTCTTTTATTATCAACAAAATAAAAAATTTATACATACGGCCAGTGTGTTATTCCTTATTCTTGATTTAGTTTTGTGAATTAACGTAACATATTACGACAACAATTTATTGAGTAAAATTAACAATTTTTATTGTACATAAGAACAAAAGTTAAAATTATTGAAATGACAACTAAGTTGATATTTAGTCAAAAACGATTACAT